ATACGTAAATTATAAAAGAATGATAAGATTTAATATCTATATTGTGACCCAGCATCTGGGACTGGGAGAAGGCTAGAAGAAGAGTACAGCAGATTATATTCCCAGTGTAGGTCTCAAGGCTGAGCGGGGAGGTCAGGGGCAGCAGCTTCTCAAGGCCTCGTCTCGCTGATGTCAGTATCAGCCAGGCTGGCCAAGCAGTCTAGAGGACTGGAAGGGATGCGCCTTTCCCTTCCAGACAGGTGTGGTCAGAAGCCAGAGAGGAGTCTTGTTTCCTGCTGATCTTTTTCATGGTGAAGGATGGTTGGTTTTGGTTGAGGGGCTGCCAGTCTTCCCAGGATGTTCTCAAGTTACCATCGACAGAGCCTGCCAGCTTCAGGTGAGGCTGGTGAAAGACTGTTTTTGCTAACTAATTGTGTTAAAACCTGTGATCTTTCCACCTAAGGCCTTCAGCCCATCCTTAGGAGCTACACAGGCACCTGATTCTCCATTGTTCTCACCAACAAAGATCTGGGTGACTGGTTTAGATCGTCAAGACTCCTCCCCCCAAAAAAATTTTCAATTATTATTTTTATTTCTTTATTGATTTTTTTGAGCTCTACATTTTTTCTCTGCTCCCCTCTCCTTTAACCCTCCCCCAAGGTTTCTATGCTTGTAATTTAATCAGGAGATCATGTCTTTTTCCACTTCCCGTGTAGATTAGATCTATGTAAGTCCCTCTTAGGGTCCTCATTGTTGTCTAAGTTCTCTGGGATTGTGATTTGCGGGCTGGTTTTCTTTGCTTATGTTTAAAACCTACTTATGAGTGCGTACATGTGATAGTTGTCTTTCTGTGTCTTGGTTACCTCACTCAAAATGATGTTTTCTAGCTCCATCCAAAATGTTCCTGTAAAATTCAAGCTGTTGTTATTCTTTTCTGCTGTGTAGTACTCCATTGTGTAAATGTACCACATTTTCCTTATCCATTCTTCGGTCAAGGGGCATTTAGGTTGTTTCTAGGTTCTGGCTATGACAGTGCTGCTATGAACATAGTTGAGCACATGTCCTTGTGGCACAATTGAGCATTCTTTGGATATATACCTAAAAGTGGTATTGCTGGGTGTTGAGGAAGATTGTTTCCTAATTTTCTGAGAAATAACCATACTGACATCCAAAGGGGCTGTACCAGCTTGCATTCCCTCTAGCAATGCAGAAGTGTTCCCTTTACCCCACAACCTCTCCAACATAAGTTGTATCAGTATTTTTGATCTTGGCCATTCTTACAGGTGTAAGATGGAATCTCAGAGTTGTTTTGATTTGCATTTTCTGATGACTAAGGATGTTGAACATTTCCTTAAGTGTCTTTCAGCCATTTTAGATTCCTCTGTTGAGAGTTTTCTGTTTAGGTCTGTACTCCATTTTTTTAATTGGATTATTTGTTTTTTGATAACCAATTTCTTGAGTTCTTTGTATATTTTGGAGATCAGACCTCTGTCTGATTTGGGGTTGAGGAAGATTTTTCCCATTCTGTAGGCTGTTATTTTGTCTTGTTGACCATGTCCTTTGCTTTACAGAAGCTTTTCAGTTTCAGGAGGTCCCATTTATTAATTGTTTCTCTCAGGGTCTGTGCTGCTTGGGTTATATTTAGGAAGTAGTCTTCTATGCCATGCATTCAAGTGTACTTCCCACTTTCTTTTCTATGAGGTTCAGTGTGGCTGGCTTTATGTTGAGGTCTTTGATCCATTTGGACTTGAGTTTTGTGTATGGTGTTAGATATGGGTCTGTTTTCATTTTTCTACATGTTGATATCCAGTTATGCCAGCACCATTCGTTAAATATTCTTAAATTTTTTTCCATTTAATTTTTTTTTTGCTTCTTTGTCAAATATCAGGTGTTTGAAGGTGTGTGGATTAATATCTGGGTCTTCGATTTGGTTCCATTGGTCCTCCTGTCTGTTCTTATGCCAATACCAGGTTGTTTTCAGTACTGTAGCTCTGTAGTAGAGTTTGAAGTCAGGGATTGTGATGCCTCCAGAAGTTTTTTTATTGTACAGGATTGTTTGGGCTATGCTGGGTTTTTTGCTTTTCCATATGAAGTACCGTTCTTTCAAGATCTGTGAAAAATTTTGCTGGGATTTTTGATGGGCATTGCATTTGAATCTGTAGATTGCTTTTGATAAGATTGCCAAATTTTCAATAATTTACAACTCATAGTTGGTTTGAATCTGTCAATATAGAATTCATGGCTAAGAATGTTGACTGTATTCATGAGCAGATGTGTATGTGTGAGAGAGAGAGAAACAGAGAGAGACACATAGAGAGAAAGATGGAAAACAGACACAGGAAATCGAAGAGCCCTGCAGTCTGGTTTTGGAATAGCCACCTTCCAAACCTTGCTGTTTTGGGTTCCACTTCTGGGCCAGGACAGTCATGTATGCATGCCTCCCTGTAATAGTGGCCCTATACCTTTGCTGTTCAGAGGTCTGGTGTTTTTCCATATATAGTACAAATCTTTTTCTAGGTTTGTTAAGCATCCTGTTTTGGTTTTGTTTCTATGTATGTATGTATGCATGCATGCATATGCAAGAAGGTTTTGCTATGTATCCCACATTTGCTTGAACTTGTGATCCTACTGCCTTTGCCTCCCCAGTTTGGGGATTAAAGGTGTGTACCACCACACCCAGCCAGTTAACTGGTTGCTACGTGTATCTGTTCCCCCCTTCCCCCCCCCCAACATTTGGATTATTCACACCTCCATCTCCCCATTCCTAACATTTTTGTGACGCTCCCCAATTAGACTTTTTCCTTGCAATAAAGTCTCACCTGACCGAGTGTTTTAACTCTTTAGAGGGCATGCCCCTTTTTAATTTTGATCCATTTCTGAAAGCCTGTTTTCAGCCCAGCTTTGACAGATTTATATTCTTCCTGCCTGCAGAAAAGCTTGTACTTCCCCCACACTTTGGGGGAGTCCGAAATGTCAACATCAGGTTTCAGTGACTGGGGAGGCTCCAGCAACAGCACTGGCCTTCAGCCACATGCAAATCAACATGGCCACACAGCCCACATTTTTGTTAACACGCTTTGTGTCTCAGCCTAGCGTCGAAGATCTTGTAGAGTCAAAAATAATTATAAATACCTCTCAAACTGGCTGCTAGTCTGGTATAGAAGAAAACTATGCTTTGGGGTGGGGGTGGGAGGGACACAGTGGTAGCGGCAGGAACCCCAAGCCCTTGTCCTCTGGGTTATGCTATCCCCTACCCTCTTTACCAGCTACCCCTTGAGCCTTTCTCTTCCCCAGTGCAGCACTGGGGTGTTTTCATCAGTACAGAGATAGCAGCAAGCGTCTGCTCCCCCAGGATTGTTTTTTATGCTGCTTCGAAGTGGCCTGCGAGCCCTGCGGCTTGCTTTTCCCTGCCAGGATCTTCAGTGGGCTGCTTTTGTCCCTGTTAGCAGCCCTAATTGTTCTTTTCAGAATATTTTTATGCAATGCATCTTGATCATATTCAGCATTCACCGCCTCTCCTATTTCCTCCCACATTTACCCTCCCTACCCTCACCTCCCTACCCACCCAACTTTGAGCATCGCCTCCTTTTCTTCTGTCTAGTCTAGTAGTGTTACCCAGCTACTTTCGGGCATGGAGTCTGCCCCAGTGTGTGGCTAACTAACCAGAAAGCTGACTCTCCTCCTTGCAGCCAGTGGCCAGTGGCGACTCGCTAGTGGTGGAATTTGGTCCGCACTGGGCTTTGGCCTGGCCTGGGCTTGTGCCCGTCTTGTGCATGTTGTCACAGTCGCTGGGAGGTCATGTGTGCAACTGTTGTGTCTGGAAAATCTATTCCTTGGAGCCAGCCACCACCTCTGGCACTTACAAAGTGTCCTTCCCTCACCGGTGTGTGACATTGACTGCCAGCCCACAGCTGGCTGCTGACGGATAGCACTCCATTGGGTTCCTTCCTGGTTTTCTGAGTGCACCTTCCATGACCCCCATTTGCCTCTCTTTCTGGGCACTCTGTGACATCATTTCCCAATGTCATTCTGCTCTCTGTCACCTCGTCCCGATCAGTCTTAGCCTGGGAAGGTCCTATCATTCTTCAGAACCCTGGGCCCCCATTTCCAGCTCTTTCCTCTGCCTTAGTGGGGAGCTTCTCAGCCCCCACAGGTCTTTGCTGGGGAAGGCTGGCTTGTGCTTCCTAGAGTGTGAAGCAGCTTCCCTGCCTCTGCCTCCTTGGTGATACCCTGAAACATCCCAGCATCGCAGAGATCCTGGTGGGGGAGAGAACCGCTCCTGCTGAGAACCATTACAATACCCGCTTCTTCCGTCTTTGTCCCAGCTTAAATGGATGGACAGATTCCCTTTAATGCTGGCATGACTTCATCATGATAAAGTACAAGGAGATGGAAGGACAGGATGGCAGATTTGGGTTGGAAAGGGCCTCCCAGAGCACAGGCGTGCTGAATTTGCACAGCCCCTCTCTCCTCCGGGCTTAACAGCCTCAGGTCTTTCTCAGCAGGGCATTCAGATTGATAATATTGGAATTGTTATAGTTGATAGGCAGTGATGTGAAAGGTGTGTGTCTTCTATCCCTGCTCCGCTCAGAGCACACACACACACACACACACACACACACACACCCGCTTACGTGTGCAGCTCTGGGGCAGAGGCTAGTTGTAGAGGAACTCTCTCCACACTGCTTTTAGCTGAGCCCAGTGAAGACCAGTGGGATGATGTGAATCAGACCAGACCTGGCATGTAGTTGCTGTTGAGGGAATAGTGGTGAACAGGTCATTGGAACGGTGATTGTCTTCGTTGAGCAGTGGGACCACACATGACGTGTTCATGTTGAGCAGTGGGACCACACATGACATGTTCACGTTGTTTTGCCTTGTTTCACTTTCTAATTGACCTTTGGGAGTTTTTGTTCCCATGAATATTTCTCTCAAATTCAGGAAAGAAAGCCCATGATTATTTTTTCCCTAGTTCAAAAGAAAGAGATCCCTCCCTCATCCTGTGTGTCTTTCTTCCCTAGGTGTGGCTACCAGAAGCATGGCCACCAGCGCTGTACCCAGTGACAACCTCCCCACGTATAAACTAGTAGTAGTGGGAGATGGAGGTGTGGGCAAGAGCGCCCTCACCATCCAGTTTTTCCAGAAGATCTTTGTGCCTGACTACGACCCCACCATTGAAGACTCGTACCTGAAGCATACGGAGATTGACAATCAGTGGGCCATTTTGGATGGTGAGACCTGATGACAGCCTTGCATGGGGTGGGTTACCATGGGGAAAAATCAGGGAAATGTGATAGGCTTAAGTGGGGCAACATGGTTTCCTGCTTGCTGATATTATGGGATGGTTGCTGTAAGGCAGTATGTAGCATCCAGGGGGAATTCTAGATAGAGATCTGGTCCTGGTAGAGTGCTCAAAGACCTTAGTGGTAACGAAAGCAGACTGTGAAAGAAGAGGCCGGGGAGAATCCTGCCAGCTCAGAAACGCTGTATGGGAGTTGCTTCTTTAAGCAGAAGCTCTGATGAGCAGATACAGAAGTTTCAAGCTAATAAAAAAAGAGAAGCTTTCTTTTTTTAGATTTATTAAGGAAAACTGAGAAAGGTCTCCCAAGAATAGGAGGCTCTCACAATACATGAAAACTGATTTCTTACTAACCAGAGTGTACCTAGGAAGTGCCCCTTTGTTGGGAGAGCTTGCATCTGGCATTGTATTTCTACTCTGTTCAAAATTAGGGTTTCTCAAAGTGTGGTGGTCAAGGAGCTTCCTAGAGATGTGAATCCAGACCCCTTCTCATTCCGAAATTCCCAGGGTGGAGGGCAATGACTTGGTTTTTAGCACACCCTGTAGGGATTGTTGAAGCTGGAGACCCCCGTGCTAGATTCCCGCTGGCCATGATTCTCTATTGCCCAAGTCTCTTCCTGAGCTAAGCCCATTAATCACAGGGCGCTGGTCTAGGAGGAGAGCTTGGAAAGCTGCTGACTTACAAGTTTCTTTCAGATAAATGCAAATATTTTTCTCAGTCTGTGTCTTGTTTTCCATCCTCCCAACAGTTCCTTTCAAAGACTAGACGTTTCTGTTTTGATGACGTCTAGTTTATTCGTTCTTTCACAGAGTGTACTTTTGGTATTTTGTCTAAGAAATCTTTGCCTAACCCAAGGTCACGGCTGTGTTTCTCATAGTTTCTCCTGGAAGTTGAATTGTTTGGGTTTTTCATTTACGTTTTGTTCTATTCTGTACACTTTGCATGTGGCACGGGGGTGGGACAGATCTTCCAGAGTTCCTTGTTAAAGATATTCTTCCTTCCAGCTCCCTGTTGACTTTGTCCCAATAGTGAGAACCAGTTCCCCGTGTAATCTGTCTTTGGTCTGGATGTCTGACTTTAGACAAATCGCCACTGCTTTAACAGTATAGCACTATGATAACTTAGCAATTGAAGCCATGTGAATGAATATGAATTATAGACTCAGTGTTAATTTCTGATTTTGTTTGGGGTAGTGTTGAATTTGTGTACAACCTGAAGGAATTTTTGTAGTGTTTGGTACTGAACCGTAACACATGCTAGGCAAGTGACATAGCCCTGAACCACGTCCTCAGTTCTGAGAACAGATGTCTTAGCTGACAATGCTGAGCCTTTTAACCTGTGAACACTGTCCCTCTCCATTTATTTAGGTCTTCCGTGATCTCTCAATTGTTTTGTGCTTCTGAATACATAGGTCTCTTAGGTACATTTTGTTAGGTTTATACTTACATCTGCATTGATGCTATGATGAAAGTTTTAAATTTCAGCTTCAATTGTTTGCTGCTAGAATATAGAAAATTAGGCTACTTCTAATTTTTTGGGTTTGTTTTGTTGGATCTCTCTTTGTAGACCAGGCTAGCTTCAAACACAATGTGCCTGCCTCTGCCTCCCAAGTGCTGGGATTTAAAGACATGCACCACCACCGCCTGGCTATGATTTCTAATTTTTAAAATTAGTTTCACATTAACTATGAAGTAATGGGTTTCATTGCGGCACTTTACACATATATGTCATTATATTTTACTCAAATCCATTTACCCCTCACTGCCTTCCCTGTGCCTCCTGATCCTCCAATATGATTGATTTTTATGTATCAATCATATAACCTTCTGTATTAGCCTTAGTGGCTTTTTGTGAGATTCCTTTCTGCATGAATGATCATGGTGGTAAAGGTAGTTTTATCTTTTCCTTTTCAATCAATGGTTTTTATTTCTTTTTCTTGCCTTATTTCAGTGACTAAAGCCTCCAGTATTGTGCTGAGTGGCAGAATAAGAACAGAATCTGTGCCTTGTTCCTAAGGGGAGTGTTCAGTCTCTTGGCATCAGTCTGATGTTAACTGGAGATTTATTTGGTGGAGATGCCCTTTATCAGGTCAAGGAGGCTCCCTTCCCTGGTTTGCAGCCGGTTTCAATCAGGAGCGGCTGTCGGGTGTTGTCAAATGCCTTCTCTGGCTGAGATAATCCCATGGCTTTTCTTTGTTAGTTTGCTAATGTGGTAAATTATGTTGAGGTTTTCCCTCAATTTTTAAAAACATTCTAATTACTTTTATTTAGTGTGGGTCTTGGGGGAGATTGGGGTGTGTTCTGCAGCGTGTATGTGGAGGTCAGAGCACAACTTGGGGGACATTCTCTCCTTCCGCCATGTGGGTCCTGGAAGTTGAGCTCTGTCGTCAGGCTTGGTAGCAGGTACCACACAGAGCCTTTGCTGGCCCTTTCCCTAATGTGTAACTAATTTTTCATCCCTGAAATAAACAGCACATGGTTCTGATGAATTGCCCTTTCATATACCATTGGCTTCAGTTGGACAGAATTTGATACAGAAATGTTTTACTTGTATTCTCAAGGGATATTAGACCATTTTTTAATTATAATTTATTTATCTAACTTTAGTATGAAAGTAATGCTGGCCTTCTAGAATAAGTCGGAAATTAACCCTTCTTTTTCAATTCTCTAGGAAAGTTTTAATAAGTCTCTTTTAATTTCTTTTGTATACATTCATTGGAATTCACCAACAAGACCATCTGGACTGCAAGCTTTATGGAGAAGCTTCTAAACTGTCAGCTAAATGCCCTCAACAGACATAGGGTCATTAAGTCATCTCTAGTCTTCAGTGAACTCGGGTAGTGGGTGATTTTTAAAAAAATTGTTTTGTTTATCAGAATTGACAAATTTATTGCCATAAGGGTGCTTGTAATATTCTTTTATAACCTTTACAACTTGTAAATTCTACAGTGATGTCATCTTTCATTCCCGATATTAGTAACTTGTACCTTTTTCTTTCTCCTTTTCTAGATCAGGCAGGGTTGGGTTTCATAAGTATTGATTTTCTCAAAGAGCCAGCACTTACACCCATTGATTATTCTCATTTAGTTCCATTGATTTTTCACTTATTACTATTCTTTCTCCTTTACTTACTTTAGATGTAAGTTTCTCTTGTTCTCATGTCCTTGGAAAGGGGTGTCTTGCTGTTCTGCCCAGGCTAGTCGCCTTCTCCTGGGCTCAGTGATCCTTCCACATTTGCCTCCCAAGTACCTGAGCTTCAGTGACACAACACCATGCTCCACTTTGTTAGAACTGCCTGAAATGTAAGCAGATGCTGATGCTTCAAGTCATTTTTTCTTTCTTGAATATTCATTTAGTGCTATAAAATTCTCTGAATTACTCCTTTAACTGTGCCCCATAAATTGTAACATCATATGTTTCCTTTCTCCCTCCCTCCCTCCCTCCCTCCCTCCCTCCCTCCCTCCAAGACAAGGTCTCACTATTTAACTTTCTCTGGAACTCACTCTGTAAACAAAACTGGCTTTCAACTCACAGAGATCTGCCTAGGTCTGCCTCCCAAGCACTGGGTGGGTTAAAGACATGAGGCACTACACCTGGCTTATGTTTTAATTTCTAATCCTATCAAATTCTAATTTCCCTTTAGATTTCTTCTCTGACCCGTAGGTTCTTTAGAAGTATCTGACTTAGTTTTTAAGAATTTGGTACTTTCCCGAAGATCTCTCTGCTCTGGATCTTTAATTCAGTGTGTCAGGGAACATACAGCGAACTATTCCAAGTCTTTTTTGAGGCTTGTCTCAGTGCCCAGAAGATGGGCTGTGTTCATAGATGTTCTCAGAGTTTGTCTCACAGATCACAATGACTGATAATGCCCAAGTCTTCTGTATCTTCACTGGCTTTTCTGAGTACTTGTTCTGTCATTTATTAAAAGCGGGGTGTTGCATGTCAGGGTGTAATTGTAAATTTCCTTATTTTCGGCTGGGGTTTTGCCTGGTGCATTTTTTTTTAAAACACTCTGTTGTTAAATATGCAGATGCTTGGAACCAATATATCCTCTTGACAAGTAGTCCTTCATGGGTATTTAGGACTGATATAACCTCTTGACAAATGGCCCTCCACTCATATTAAAATGGCTTCGTCATTCCTAAGTTTCACCTCTCTTGGAACTGTCAGAACTTTGTTGGGCACCTGTATTTCGCCTATCAGCATCCCCACCCTCCCCTAAAGTGATTGATGTATGTTATGGTATGAGAAGTGCATCATTCATAAGACACACCAGTCTTTGGGGGCTTGTGTGCAGCTTGAGGTTTTGAGCATTTCATTGGGTGCAGGTAGACAAACTACTTGGGAGTTTGCATGTGGTCCTCTCCCCTCCTAGGGTCCAGGTAGACAGGTGAATCCCTACTCTGGAATTTGCATGTGGTCCTCTTTTCTCCTAGGGTGCAGGCAGACAGGTGAATCCCTACTCGTGAGTGCATGTGGTCTTCTCCCCTCCTAGGGTGCAGGTAGACAGGTGAATCTCTACTCGGGAATTTGTATATGGTCTTCTCCCCTCCTAGCATGTTCTTTCTGCAGAGATAACTCATGAAGATTTTGTCTTTTGTTTTAAGGCAGGTCTCATGTATGGCTGGCTTTGAACCCGCTGTGCAGCTGAGGTTGGACTTGAGTTTCTGATCCTCCTGCCTCTGCCTCCTGAGTTCTGGGATTATAGGTATATATGCCAGGCCTTCAGGCATGGTAGGCAAACATTTTACCAGCTGAGCTACATTCATAGCCTATTAAATAACACTCTATTGGCGAGATCTTCCATGACCAAGACATCTACATTAGTATTCACACACCTGTTATTTCTGTCAGCAAATATTTTTAAGAAATAAATTATCAAATACTGAACAGTTTATTCGCAGTTACAGATTTGATTGGTTTGCTACATTA